CTATTACTTACAAGTTTGGGCTTTAATTATTGAATTCTTGAAAGAAGCTCATTTCCTCTTCGTTTCTATCAGCTTTAATTGACGTTAATAGTTATTTTAATTGAATCAGGTAGATTTGGGTGAAGTAGAAGTTTGTTGTGTGGGTGTGTGTGGTTCCATGTCATAATAACATTCGTTGTCTATGAGTTCTGTATAAAAAGTGTTCCTTTGTAAGAGTTTTTTCCTGTTACACAGTAGGCTCATTATTGCTATTTGACAGTAGTTTAGAGACGGCAGGTGTTGTTAAAAAATGAATAGGTTGAAAGGTGGCCGGGAGCGTTTGCTGTATGGATGTATGAGTAGAATGCACTCGTTTGAGTTGGTCGGGTTGCTGTCTACATCATTTTCAACAGTAGTTACATAGGTTTTTTGGGCAATCGATTGAATGCACACTTGAGGAAAGGGATGGGAAAGGAAGAAAGAGGAAAATTAGTTTTGTTAGGTTGGTAAAGTAGAATTTTACACCTATTTGGTTTGCTAGCATTTTAGTTTTTCTCTTGGGAGAAAAAGGGGAAGAGAGAAAGTCATCAACCAAAATTACTTTTTTCCTATTCTGGACTTTCATACAGTTTGTGGTTCTAAACTGTCAAAATTTTCAGAAATCATTGTTGTTGCTAGTGAATGGAAGGAAAAAAGTTGTAGTTTTTGAGCTCAAACCCGTTTTTTTACTGTCTTATCTGTTGTGCTTTCTTTTTCCCCAAAAAAGTGAGAAAGAGATGTTGTTATTTTTTTCGAGTTGTATGTATTTAAAGAAGGTTGTATAGGAAAAGTAACGAAGAAGAAAATGGAATTTACTTATAGGCGTTTTATTTAGAGTATAACATCTGTATTTCTAAATACATACACACTTCTAACACAATTTTTTCTGGCTAGCTTTGCAATTTTTTTTCTCTTCTCCTTTTTTTATTATTCATCAGTGAAGTAAGTACTTGAATAGTAATTATAAATAATTTTCCAGCGAGATTTTTGTTCTTTAGAAGATGACGTTGCTTCACAGATGGCAGTTTTGAAGAAGAATTAAAGGAATAAAAAAAACACGAAACAAATGAACGAAAAAATGACGTAAATGAAATAGGTGTTTATTTTGAATTTAAAGGGGGGTATTTCCTTTTAAAAATACACAAAGTGAGCAGAGACTAAATTTTTTTTTTTCCTTTTTCTTTTTTTTTTGCTGTTGTTGTTAATCTAATGTCAAGAAGAA